TTCTTCTTTACTGATTCCTCTAGTTCATCAGTTTTAAGCTTCTTAGAGTTATCTGCATGAATTTAATGTTATTCTCAACATAATAAAAAAACTTGAAAATACAAGCCAATATAAAATCTGACAAATACCATATTTCCCAATAGTTATGGTTTCATTTATACTCCCTAACCTGAGTGTGGTGAGTCCTTTTGATCTCTCTTTCGTTTAGTAAGAAGAGTCTTAGTTTCTAGTGATTGTGTTTCTAATGTTAGCATCCTCTTCTCTTGAATAGAAATAAAATAATGAAAATAAACAATTCCTTAAATAGCACATCCATTTTTGTACAGAGTGTATGTACATGTATTTACAACAATATGATGTAAAGCAAAAATACAGAAACTATTCTTTTATAAAGCATGACTGATCATATGTACAGTACATGTACACATACCTGATAGTGATTGAGTCTCCAGTAGTGCTTCCTGAAGTGATTGGTTGTTAATTCTAGCCACTTGTAGATCATGACGTAAAGACTCATTCATAACTTGAAGCTCCTTCTCTTTATCTGTCATGAATTCATTCAATTCCTTTCTTTTTTCTTTTAGTATTTGTTCATACAATAAAGGAATATTAAATGAATCTAATACTGTACCCACTGACCATTGACCATCATTAAAAACTGAGAGAGAGAGGGAGGGAGAAGGAAAAGGAAGGAATAAAATAAGTTAGTGATTGAGTGAGGGAGAGAAAAGGACAGAAACATACAGTACATGTAGTTACAAAAATTTGTATGTGATGAAAACAATCAGTAAGCCACAAAGGAGGCTTGCTCTTGAGAAATCCATATGCAGGCTTAATTGACCACACCCTCTAATTACCCCCACCCTCATCATCACAAAAGTTGAGGCTGCTTTATACAACAAAAGGAAACACATCATTTTTTACACTTTAAAATCTGTAGCCTTTCATTTGTTCGCAAGCATAAAATAGGCACAAAATGATACTGATGGCATAGTTTTTGTTGCTGCCTGAATCATAAATCTACCCATGCAATACACAAAAAAGAAATTAAATTTGTCTGTGGAAAGTAATACACATAGTTCATATAGTGACACATAATGTACGTCATAATTATCATAGAGCATGCTCAGAAAACAAAATTGGAGATTATATTGGCTATTCCTTCATGGAACCACCAATTACATATACATGTATCCCCTCACCAATAAATCAACTTTTACAGAAATACATGAAAATGTTTATTTTGTAAGATTATACATAAATAAATAATTAACATTACCTAGTTCAACTACCATTGTGATATTAGGATCAGTCACAGGTATATTCATCCATTGCATTGGTCCTACATGTTTCTGTTCCCCCTTTACATAACCTCCCACTATTATCAGGAACACATGATTAGGATCAAGAACAAAAGATGATACAGTATGAGCACATCTACCAGTAACAGAATCAGGTAGAGGAATCTGTAGAAAATAGAGAATGTAAAGATAGTAACAACATGTACAGTGTAAGACTGAAAGAGATCATAACACCAGTGGCTGATAATGGGGTATAATGACTAATATTTGCACTGGATATTTGCAAAACGGCCGATTTGAATCATTGCTCAGTAATAGAATCAAAAAACAATCCACAAATACAAAAAATCAATAAATTTCTTTTGGTCAACATTAATACTGTAAATAAAAAAATATAAAAACACTATGCAATACATTATGCAATGAGTGCACTATAGCACATGCCCTCGCCACAATCAGTGTAACATAACTGTAGTATATTACTCTTGTAGATACGATTATTAACAATCAAAAGATCAACCAAAACAACAGAATCAAACATTTATATACTAAGACACAAATTATGAAATAGTTTCAGATTAACACGAATTATTAAGAAGGGATCTATTACAGATAAGACATACAACCAAATAATTAAGTCTAGGCACACATTACATTTATTACAATTCAGGGTTCTACAGTCACGTGATTTCTGGGATACTACAAAAACACAAATGAAACATAATTTGTTCTTCAAAAATTATAGAGAGAATGCTGCTGACTTACTGTTACTGTACATGTTAGCTTGCTCAGCCTTACATTGCTTTGCTGTAGCAATTGAAGGTGTGGCTCAAATTAAGCACCGCCTACTTCATAGTTACACAATGGACAGTTACTGGTAAAAAAGCTTCAGTTTTCTACATTTATACACAGTTTATGACACAGTAATTAGGCTCTATTTGTTGTATACAAACTTTATAGTAAGAATCTACAGTTTAAAAGACTCTGACAGATCTTCCTAGAGAAGAGGACCTCGTGTAAACAGTCGCAGTAAGCGATGTTTGAGCTACCATATCTCAGGAATGAAGAATTTAACACAAATTTCACAAATTTAAAATCAATAAAAACTTTCAATCTATCGTTTGATGTGTTATATTGCATTATTACCTTCATTATGAGAGAGTTACCTGGAATCCTGACTACGTTTAGCAACATTACTGGCTCATGCTGCCTAGGAGAAGATGAATGAAGAAGTAAACTGAAGGAAAACTAATTTTAGCAATTATTTTAGTTCCTGAGCAAAGAGCAGCAAGGATTTGAAAACAGAAAAAAAGACGCCATCTTGCGAACACACACACACATTGACACGACGAGCGCAATATCCTCGCCTATACGCCTACGGCATGGGCGAGGGCAACAATGGTCCAATGGCTGACAAGCATAATTATCAAAAGATGCTGTTGTGCTGAACTCAATCAACTGGACAAAAGACTTCATAAAAACTGTTCTTATACATGTACTTTTGTATACAGGACATAAAATCTACTCATAAAAAGGCGACTAATTATTGTACATGTGTGGATACTAGGATCTATACAAATAAAATCTCTATTTTGTTTAATTTGAAAAATTTTAACCAATTGAACATTCTACCCACCCTATGGTACACTACGATATAATGTCAGTGTAATGCATTACTACCTTCATCAAAATGTACTGGTTTGTGTTTAAGAACAAACAATCATTCACTGGTTGATTCCAATAATCCACTCCACCAATCACTACTAGTGTAGGTGAGGTAGAGACACCATTGATAATAGTACTGGCATGACCCCATCTCTCCTTAATCCACAGTCCATCATTAGGTATTGCTCCTTGTTTAAGACACTCCCAGTTCTAAAACATAAATACCGTATAGCGCAATATTTTCAAGGGCTGTAAATTTCACAATTTTTTGAAGAATCACAAAAATTACTTCTGTGAAAAATCAAAATTATTAGGGCACAAGATGGCAGACAGTATAAATTCACAAAAATTAAATCCGCAAAGTAGATTTTTAGGCAAATTCGCGAAATTTACAGCCCTCAAAAATTTTGCACTACATGGTAAATGTACATGTACATGTTTTGTTAGCTTAGTTCACCATTAATGTTATACATTTTGTTATTGGAATCGCCAGTGATTAGCATGGGCGAGAACTATGCAGTTAAGTGTGGTGTCTGTCATTCATTGCCCTCTGCACCCATGCCTTAGGCAAGGGTACTGCAATTGTTGTTTCAGTGTGTGTGTGTTCGCAAGAATGGTGTCTTCTGCTCTGTTTTCAATCCCTTGCTGCTATTTGCTCAGGTTCTGCAGAGCCCCACTGCCAACTAAAACACTTTTTAAAAGTTAATTTTTATCAGTTTGCTTCTTTATCCTTTTTCTCAGAGGCAGCATGAGCCAACAATGTTGATAAATAATTATAGTCTCACTAGTCTGATTCATAGGCAGCTCTCTCATGACAAATGTAATAATGCAATAGAACACATCAAATAATGATTGAAAGTTTTTGTTGATTTTAAATGTAAAAAATTTATCTTAAATTCTTAATTCCTGAGATATGGTAGTTTTCACAGACTCACACCACTTACTGCGTCAGTTTACACAAGGTGCTGTTCTCCAGGAAGAGCTTTAAACTGTTACAAACAAGTTTGTATACAACAAATAGAGCCTAACTATTGTGTCATAAACTGCGTATAAGTCTTGAAAACTCTAGAAAACTGAAGCTTTTCTAATCAAAACTACCAATTGGTATAACTGGCATGCCGGCATTACTATGTAATAGGCGGTGCTTGAATTGAGCCACACTTTTTATTCAAGCCACAGCTTCAATTGCTGCAGCAAGCAATGCAAGGCTGAGCAAGCCAACAGTAACAGCAAGTTAGCAGCATTCTGTCTATAATTTTGAAGAACAATAATTATTAATGTTTCATTTTTTGTTATGTTACACTGATTGTGGCAAGGGCATGAGCTATAGTGCACTTGTTAAATGTGGTGCCTTTCATTCATTACCCGAGCCATGTGTAAGTGTGGAAGTGAGGGTAAACTGGTCGTCCTGTCTGTGTGTTTGCTTGGATTCCATATTTGAGCTGGTACTGCTTTCTTGTTAAGTACTGGAGACTCTTATAATTAACATTGGCCTACCAAAAAAAGTTATCCTCTCTCTTGGAAATGCTTTGACTTTTGAGACAGAAAAGAACTTTTAATGAAGTTTGCATGCTGCAGCAATATAAAAGTGTGGCTCAATCAAGCTATGCTCCACTTGCACACACAGCAATGGTGGCACATGGGCTCAGGCTAGCCATTAGCGACAGTATGAGCCATTCCATAAACAACAAGTAAACAGAGTTTTAATGTAGTGACGGGCTGAACCCTTATATGTAACAGACGCTCCTAACCGCCTGAAGTAACCAAACTTTATCTCCAAAATTATTCTTAATCAAAACTAAACTGAACAAAAAACTGAACTAAAACTAACTAACTCATAACCACAACAACACACTTATATAGATATCATAAATGTCCAGAAGGTTTTGTAACATACAAGAATACAGTACATACATGACTGTTCTAGAATACACTCAAATACATATGTGACCATAATTGACAAAAGGTACCTTATGGCGGGTAGGGAAATTTGTCTTTCTAGCCTAAGAAATCCAACTTCCTGAGCCCCATTTATCATAAAATTACTTCACAGGATGCAAAAAGTTACCATGAAACTTTTAGAAACAATGATTGTCTAACAAAGCACTCACAGGTTGATATTTTCCATTATAACGATCAATTTTAAAATCCGCCATAAGGGCCCTTTTGTCAATTATGGTCACATATAATATATAATTATAATAGTCTATGGAAGGTTCTAGACCCAGTTAGAATCAGCTTCTTACATTATAATGCACAGTTTTATATTATAGGAATCAAGTATAAATAGGTATGACAATTAGCATTGACCAAGCAGCGGGATAGTGGTGGCATAGTCAGGAAGAAGTGGGGCATGACCTGGACATAGGGCACTGCTTCGAATCCACAGATCATTGGATGAATCTATGGCAAATAGTGCTACTTTTTCATTTTTTTACTTTTAAAAAGTTCATTTTTTACTTTTTAAATTAGCTTAGGAGTCCCCAAGTTAGCCATGTCCCCTAGTTTTGTTAGGAGTTTCCTCGTTAACTATTGTTTTAGGGTTTAGGGATTAGGGTGGCAGTTTTTTAGAGCACCCTTACTCATATTAGGAGTCTCTAGTTATGTTAGAGTTCCCAAGGTTGGTTTAGGGTTTAGTTTTTTTTATTTAGAGCATCTCTTAGGTTTTATAAGAGCTTAGGAATCCATGAAAAACTAAGTTCCAATGACTAGCCACTCCTACTTCTGTTAAGTATCGTCAAAATATGGACTTAAACCGACCTGGCTCAGTGGCTCGTACTGTCGTTAAAGGGTAAGTCCAGTGCATTTTTGGTGAATTTTTTTATTGGCTTATTATGATTGTCTGACCATAATAATGATGTATTCCAACTCCCATTGTCTAAAAAATTTTTTTCACTGAGATATGAGATGTTCATTTTTGTTACTTCCTGTCGGTGGGTGTGGCTAAACGTGACGTCACTAGAAGCATAGGTGCAGCTAAATCCATTCCTTTATAGGGGGAAATAATCTTTTATTCTCATGCCTAGTAATGTAATAGCACCAATTTAAAGATTGGGATCATTAGCTTTCAATATTCTAAGCATGCAACTGCAAGAAAAAGACTCAAAATAGCAAACAAGAAAATTTGTCTACTTGTGGTATGACATTTTCTTGCAGTTTCATGCTTAGAATAATGAAAGCTAATGATCCCAATCTTTACATTA